ACACTAGGAGCAGGGGGGCTGGATCCCACAGCAAGCATGAAGGGGTGCTGTGGTAACTGAGGCGGGACCAGGAGGGAAGACAACATTTACTCCTTTCCCACCGCATCCTCTGGGGCAGGCACGACCCAGCAACCAAGGCCAGTGCACAGCCCCCTGGCTCACAGGTGCAGAGGGTGCTGGAGCCAGTGAGGGGGGAGGAAACAGGAGGGAGGCACGTTTGAGACCTTTGCTTCCCTTCCTTCCTGCTGATGGGCTCCACTTCCTCTCCAATGAGCAGGCTCGAGAAGTGCAGTGCTGCCTGTACCCTGCAGGCTGCTGCCTTCAGAGAGTCCCTTCAGCAGCACAGGGAGAGTATTTAGTTTCTGTCCTGCAGCCACCAAGGGAGCAAAGGACTCCAAACTGAGGTGGCAGTGGGGGAACTGTTTTCTTCTTTCCTTCTTTCTGTTGGAGAGACTCCTCTGGTAGCTGTTGGGGAGCCATGGTAACAAGACTGTGGTGTTGGAGGGAGATGGTGGACTAGAGCTGCCCATGAGTGCTCTGTCAGAGCCTCCTGCCTTGCTCTTGAAGGCTCTCACTTGCTCCTGCTGAACAACCACACTTCCTCTGGCAGCTCCGGTGCTGGCACTTGCCGGTGTGATGGTCTCTCAGGGCACTAGAAGTGCTGTCCTCAAGCAAACCTAAAAGAGATGGTGCAGCAAAGCTACATTCTTGCATGCTGGGCAGCTCTTTGGCAGCCTCTTGGCTCCTGCTGCCTGCCTTGCCAAAGGGGCAAGGTGGAAGAGGCATGTTGTCCAGCAACCTCAGACTTTCTCCTTCAACAAGTCTGTTTTGGACAAACTTGGCAAAGCAAGTTCCCTTATGGACTGGGAGTGTGGAAGAGGTTTGGGGACAGTTGGGGTTAAGCTCTTTAGTTAAAGATCTGGGCCAAACTTTCTTGTCCAACTTTGCTGCATCTGAAATAAGTTTTTAAATGGCTTCTGCATTCTTTCTGATTTCTTGGTTATTTAAAAAACAAGAATAAGGTGTGAATTATTTCAGACCTTGCATCTAAAATGGGACCTGTTTTGCTAATTTTGAATTAAAAAGTGTTCTTTCAGGCCTGCTGTCCTTATTCTTGCCATTGTCTGAGCATTTTTACTTCAGTGTACGTGCATGTACCCAGTGATGCGAAAGTTTCATTCCACTTCTGCTTACTGAAGCAAACAACTATGGTAATGTTTTACTCTGAGAGTCTGTATCTCCTTGAAAAGTTTTGCACCAGCTGATTTTTATTTTTTTTCCTAAGTTGGAGATTGTCAAGACTGTCAATAAAATGAATGTTCCTGGTTCCCTGCTCTGCAGGTTGATCTGAATTCTTCTTGCTCCAGCTCTCAGCAGCAGCAAGGAGAGCAGCTGGGGCAGAGGGGTGCCCAGCGGTGTCACACAGCTGCTGTCACCCTTGGGACTGTCACAGACGTTTCCTGAGCATTGGTGTGGATGACCTGCTTTGTTCTCTTACAATTGCCTTTGTGAGACGAAATAGAGTGAAGAACAGGCACTCTTGTCACTGTAGTCCCTTCAGCAGGGTGGGAGAGGGCTGGAGGAGGAATGGCACAAGCAGCTGCTAGCTGTTACCTTCCCAAGCACAGCTTTTGCCACTCCGGAGGTGTTTCAGGCGGGGTGTGCCAGAAATTAAGAAGGTGGAGGTGGTCCTGGTGTGCTGTGTTGTATGACAGTGCTTTGGGCTTGACTCACAGGTTTGCCATGCAAATGGAGTTGGGAATGTTTCATCTTGGAAACGGGTAGGTTTCTCAGGGATGTTGCAAAGCTTGAGCTTCTCTTCCTTAACAGTATCAGCGGAGGCTGCAGGGAAGGGGATGACACTTGTTTTTATCTGAGTAGCATCAGCAGAGAAGTATCAAGCTGAGGATAGTTCACATTTTTCATTCAGCCACCCTGCAGCCCTGCCATATGTTCTTGGTGTGTCTTAAATGTCTGAATCCAATATTAGCTACTTGGGCTTGCCTGCAGCTTCCTTTTCCTTCCCATAAGGAGGGACTGCCAAGAAATCTGGGGTGCAAAAAACCCACAAAACAAACAAAACCCAAACAACCCAAATCCTGAGTGCAGCAAGACTGAGCTGCCCCCCATGGGGGACTCTGTGTGGGACTGTGGTGCTCTGTCTTGCCCAGCATGGTTAGAAACATGGAACCACCAGGGCTTCTGTATGCAGGAATCATAGGAATATTTGACCTGACAGTGTTTTTATAACGTGTGCTCTCTGCTACTCTCCTTGCAAATGCAAGGGCCACTGTAGGAGCCCCCAGTGCTGTGCCAAACTGAAGAAGGGCTTGTGTGCCCCCAAATTTGTGCAGTGTTAGACACACATTTTCATAGAAGATGAATTACTTCTCCCCCTCTTTCATAATCTGTAGTCTCAGACCTTGCTGCAAGCTTGTATTTGTTTCTAGCCAGGAAGCTGGTTTATCACCTTCAAATTGGAATATGAGAAAAAACTAACATTGAACAGCAGTTGGAAGGCTCAGCGTAGGAGGCAGAACAGCATATGGGCTCACAGCTAAGCAGAGAAGAGCACAGTGTGTGAAGGGTAAGGTAGTAACAGTGAGGGAGAGAGAGTTTGGAGAAGGCTGGAGAACAGCACAGAACGAGCAAGAAAACCATGAAAGAAATGAAATACAAGAAAAGGCACCTCAAGCCTGAGAGATGGGAGGAAAGGTTAGAATCGTCTTCCTGTTGCTTCTGTGCTTCCAGCATGATGCATTGCTTTTTAAAATTTCCTCTTAGCTTTGCTCTTGTCTGCTGGTTTCTGTTTGTACTTCAGTTCTCCCACCTAGTGGCTGCAGTGCCCAACCTCACTCAGCAGCTCCAGGGATCCCTCTGGCTGCCGGTGTGTCTGTCTGGGCACCTGGGAAGCTCTGTGCCTCCCAGCTGTCCTGGTCACACTTGGCTGTGCAGCCCTTGGACCTGGAATGCAGTTTTTCTTGAGTCCTGCTGTCCTTGTCCAGCTTGTCATTGGATAGGTGGGGGACCCTCATTCCATGATTTGCAGGTTATTGTTTTCTCACCTTTCTCTGCTCAGTAAGGAACAGAAGTGTAAAGGGAGAAAAGCAGAGTAGCATCTTGGAATTGTGCTAGGAGGTGGGGGGGGCCTTCCTGCTGCCTGCAGGCCAGCAGTGGGGTCCCTGCTTCCCTCATCACATGCTCAGCATAAACTGCTGTCACAACTCCTGAAGCGAAACAAATGGTTCACTTTTCAGGTGAATCTCTTCCTCAGCTCATGGTAGGGGCTGTGAGGAGCTTGAAGGAAGCAGGAACTGGTCTGGCTGGAAGTGGTGCCTGCCAGAGTACCTCTCCTTGCATTATGGAAGCTGTACCAGCCCAGGAACACCTGCCCTAAGCTTTCTACAGTTGGTTATTCAATACTCAGGCTTATTTGCCAAATCATGAGCTCTGTTTGCTGTTTCTGTAAGAAAAAGAGCTGCTAATACTCAGCTCTGTATCATCTGTGTTACACCTTCTGCAAAACCTTTCCCAGGGCTCTTAACCTTTTCCCAAGTAAAAGGCAGTGCAGTGGATGGGTCAGATGATTTTGGGTGGTGCATGGCCAGAAAGCTGCTGCTGAGCAGCTTCTGCTTTACCTCCCCTGTAGCAATGTGACCTGTCTCTTGCCTCTACCCTGCTCTGCTCTTTCCACAGCTCCTGGGCACCTGAAGGGTGTCTTCCCTCTTCCACAGCTCTGTTGCCTTAGGCCACAAAGAGGAGGTGGACAAAACGTTATCATTGAATCATGGAATGGTTTGGCTTGGAAGGGATCTTTCAGAGTCATTTAGTTTCAACAGCCCTGTAGTGGGACACCTCCCACTGGACCAGGTTGCTCAAAGCCAGGTTGCATCCACCCTGACCTTGAATGTTTCCAGGGATGGGGCATCTGCCACCTTTCTGACCAACCTGTTCCAGTGTTTTACTGCTCTCACTGTAACAAACTTATATTAAAAACCCTTATATTCCATATATTCCTTGTTTTCTCAGGAAATTTAGGTAAAGTTGTTGTTCTGCCCAGTACACTCTTACAACTACCATTCAAACCTCTTGGCCAGAAGAGCAGCTAAGGCAGGGGGAGGACTCTGCACTGTGAAATGGGAAGGCACAGTTTTAGGAGAAAGGTGAACTTGTCCACAAGTAGATTCTGAGCCTATTAAAGCAGCAGCACCTGTGTAGATGCTGGGGGGAGGGGAGTGGAGGGGCAGTTACCAATGACAGTAACATGGGGATACTGAGTTTATCCGTGACCCTTGCAGGGTCTGTTTGAGACTGTGGTATGCAGCCCCTGGCTATGCTCCATCTCTGGCTTAAGATGAGAGAAGAAACACTGAGCAAGTTTCACCAGTGCTTTTTTCTGTGGTTTTCCTTATGTGCACGTGGCCACACCAAGCACTTGTATGAGCCCATCAGGCCCAAAGGCACCCTGGCAGCTCTCAGTGCCAAGGAATGCCAGAGGGCGGCCAAGCGGGACCTCCTTGCCCCAGGGGCATTGCTGGGGCCTCGTGGAGCCCTGCTCCATCTCCCACAGGCAGAAAGAAGCACCTGCATCTGTTGCAGCTAGCCAGCAGTGAAGGGCACCTTCCTTGGAGCTATTCACCTGCCTTGCATCCTCTTTCCCCTCCCCTCTGCTCTGAATGAACTACACGTACTGGCTCTCACTGAAGTAGCAAAACAGAAGATCCTCTGTCTCAATACTGAACTTTAATTAAAAAAACCCTAAGGCCTTCCGTAAAGGCATCTTCCGCATCCGTGAGAATTTTGATCTTTACAAGCAAATTTTTCTGGAGGCCCTGCAGACAACAGTTTCACAGTAGTTCTGTCAACTTCTGTTGCAGCCTCCCAGCAATGCCTTTACTTTACCTTGCAACGTCTCTGTACTGCTCTCAAACAAACCACATCCTTTAGCTTCAAACTGTGACAGAAGAACTGTCTTAGAGCACTTCAAAAACTGCAGCAGACTGTGATGAGAAGCATTATAAAAAACTGAAGTTGTATCTCAACTCAGCGAGCACTGTCGCCTGGGCCAGGACAGCACCTGCCATGCATTATTTTGATACTTTATTATGAGTATGTTTCTTCTGAATTGTGTAGTTTTATACCTCCAAATAATGCAGTGCATAACCCTGGTCTATGCAGAAAATATACATCAGTGGAAAACTGTAACTGTAAATTCCCAAAACTTTTACCTCTTTTGAAGAGTGAATGGCATGACTTTCCATGGGGAAAGAAGCTGTATCAACAAGAACATAGTATCCAAAGAGTGGTTTTCTTTTTTTTTAATAAAATACTATTATGTTCATATCTATACAAATAATTATTACAACTATTAAACAAAGTATTACATTTAACAATAGAAATCTCAGAACTCTGAACAAGATCATGGTTTGGGATATTTACACCTGAATGTAACACATTTGTAAAAAGATGTCAAAATAAACAGAGCAAGATCTTATTTACAATTGGAAGATGATGTTCCTGTTCATTCATTATAGATTTCTACTGCAAAGTTCCTTTTTTCCATTACAAAATAGTAAGGACTTTCCACTGGGACTGTATCCAAGTCTTTTACAGCTGTATAAAACAGAAGCACAGCAGGAAACTCTGGACTGAATATAAATAATTTACACTGTGGAGGGCAACAGCATCTTTGATTAATCTCCTGTGGCAAAATCTGTATTTGCTTCCCTTCTCACAGTGAGCAGGCAGGAACAGGGCCCAAACCACCATGAGCTCCACTGTTTCATGCTTGTGATTGCCAGAACAGCAGCACATTTTGCAAACTTGGGAACCTGCTTGTAAAGATACTTTTGGTGAGGCAGAAAGAAATGCCTTTATTTTTTAAATTTATCTCATAAAAACTGGTATCAGTATATAACAAATGGCTTCTGTGTAACTAAGCAGAGTTTTTTCGCAGAGAGAATATGAATTTGTATTGTCATGACCAAAAACCTCCACTACATCTTTCACCAGTTCACGGAGTAACTTGCTCTCAGGGTAACTAGTGGGAATAAAGTGTTGGTGCTCCGAGGTTTTAGATTTACTTGGTATTGCAGAGGGAGTAGAATTTGAAAACGCCCTCACATGCAAACCTGTCTCTGCAGTGGCACTCCTGTCCATGAGACTGCTACCCATGCTGGATCATGGCAATGGGAGAAAGGACAAGTGGTGAATGATAACAGGCCAGGTGATGATAAAGAGTGGAGCTCCTTGCAGCAGTGTATCAGAAAACAACACAAATTTGACTGATTTATTATAAATAGACTCAATGCCATTCTGTCTTGCCAGTGAAAGTGAGAAAGTGATGAGCATGAAACTTACTAGGGGAATGGCAAAAGATCACAGCTCTTAGCACAGCTGACTACATTCAGTCATCCAGAAACAGCATGAGTTTGTGACCGAGTCCTTGAGCCAGGGCTGCACAAGTACCTCAGAATAATGTGAAAAGATAACAGAAGTAATTAAATGGCCCATTTTCTCCAGCAACGCCCTCTGCAGTTGCCCTGCCATTCAATCTTTTTCCTGCAACAGAACTACAGTCACCAACCACAGCAGCAACAGCGCAGCTTTAAAGTGCAGTAGGAAATCTGTGCAAAAATCAGGAGGCTCTGGACTAGCACAGTATATTTATTTTTTGTCAGAGAGGTGCTCTTCCACCAGGGCAGCAGCATAGTGACTGGAGCTGGGAGCAGGAGCTGGAAAACCCATTCCAATAAGGCCCAGCCATCAACTCAAACCACTTCAGTTCTCGTTTCCCTTAGCTGTTCTTAAATGAGGTCTTTTCTCTCAATGGTGTATAAATATTAATACAGTATTAATACTATTTTATTGCCTGCTTTCAACATAGCCTGTCTCTGTTCCTATTCTCCTAGGCTGCTTAAGGGGTTGATCATGGACTACACTGACATACATGCAATCCAGCCCAATACTATTTGTAGAAGTCACTTAGGCCAAGCTGAAAGCCACAGCCACACAACGCCTGTCAGCTGCAGCAGTCCCACCCCAGAGGCAGTGCCCAACCTTTCCCTTCCACTGCTTATTTTGCTAAATTAAGCAATACTGAGTATTTTTCCTTCCTTCAGAGCCAAAACAAACCCTGTCTTAGTATAAGTAACCTTCAAAAATGTATTATGGAAGAGAAAATGGCATTCTCAGGCTAACAAATTGCAACTTTTCCAAATATAGTCTTTTATAAATACATCTTTAAAAATAAGGGAACAGGTAATTCTTAGGAGAAAAAGATAAATGTTGTCATTGATGTTTGCTGAAGAAAATGTATTTCTTTAAGAAATTGTTATCATAACAAGTAAAACAGAATCATTCAATCTGCAAAACTGATGCTCCTTTTTCAAAGTACTCTCCCAAGTACAGATTGAGGTAAAACGAGTTTTATCAACCTAAACACAACAGGTTCAACAGGTTCAACGGTAGGAGAAAGGAAAAATAAAAGAAAGAAGCAATAGTTTCCACTCCATGGTAAAGATGTTGCAATTGCTCCTCTTCCCTGCCAAAGGAACTGAGCCACTGACCTGTCAGTGGCACAACTAACCTTCACAACTCAGTGCAAGAAGGTTGACCTTTAGTCTCTGTTTCTCCAAAGCAGACAAGCCTAGAGCCCTCGGCCGCTCCTCGCAGGACACACCTGCCAGCCCTTCCACCAGCTTTGTTGTGCTCTTTTGGACTCATTCCAGGACCTTCACATCCCTCTGAAATGGTGGGGCTCAGAACTGCACCCAGCACTCAGTCTGAGGCCACACCAATGCTGAGCCCAGTGGGATGTTCCCCTCCCTCTGACTGGCTGGTGATGCTGTGTTTGATGCTCCCCAGGACGTGGTTTGCCCTCTGGGCTGCCCAGGCACACACTGCTGACTCACACTGAGCTGCTGCCCACCAGCACCCCCAGGGCCCGCTCTACAGGGTGCTGTCCCCCCACTCCTCTCCCTATTTATACTTGTGCCTGGTGTTACTTTGTCCCATGTGCAGAATCTGGCACTTGAACTTATTAAATTTCATCCCATTAGTCACAGTCCAAGGATCCAATCTATCCAGATCCCTCTGCAAAGCATCTGTGAACAGCTGCTCTCCGTGTGGTATCATCAGCAAACTTGCCAGTGGTGTGCTCAACTCCTGCATCCAGATCAGTGATAAATACATTGGATAGGAGTGGCCCTGGAATTGAGCCCTGGGGAACACTGCTGGTGACTGGTCATCAGCCAGATGTAGCCCCATTCACTACAGCCCTTTGACCTCTGCCCTTCAGCCCATTCTTCACCCAGCACACCATGAACTTGCTCATCCCACAGCTGGACAGCTTGTCCAGATGGATGATGTGAGGGATGGTATCAAAATCCTTACTAAAATCCAGAAACATTCCATCCGGCACTTTCCATTCACCCACTAAGTGGGTGACCTTATCATAACAGGATATCAAATTAGCTGGATAGGAGTTTCCCTTTGTGAAGCCATGCTGACTATGCCTGATAATTGCATTATTCCTTAAACTCGGGAACTGCGGTTAGACTCACTCTGTAGTTCCCTGGGTTCTTCCCTCACACCCTTTCTGCAGATTGGAATAAGGCTGGCTACTTTCCCATCAGCAGGGACTTCCCCAGACCTTTGGTGGATGACCAAGTGGGATCCTGCCATATCTCCTGATTGCTCCTTCAGTACTCTGGAATGAAGCTTATCCAGCCAAATGGATCTGTGGGACATTCTAGTCTAGCAACAGGTAGAAGTTTATAAGGTCACTCCATTTTTCACAGACATCATGAAGTAATAGTTTTCCCAGCAGAGGAAGCTACTGTGGTAGTGTGAATGTCTGGAATGAAGAGCAGGATTAGCATCTTTATATATAAAAGTCCTAGAAGCCAGGGCTTAATTTTTCACTAGTTTGTCTTGAAAGCCAAACCCATCACTGCACACATGATGCCATTTAAAGAGAGTAAGAATGGTGGCTTTGCTTCCCTCCTCCGAGTCCAGACAAACATGTAATGCACAGTGTGGCTGCTGCTTCGATCCCCCTGTCTTTATCTTCCAAAAACCATGGAACCACTCCCTGTTCTGGAACTCATTTCACCAGCTGAGGCAGCCCCTTTGAGAGCTACTGCATTAAGGAAATCCCTTTGATCAAGAGTCTCACCACAGAACACTGAGACCTGTAGTTGGCTTAGTCAGCTTGAGGCTGAGGACTGACTCATTCCTAACCCTCCTGCTCTCTGCACAGCCCAGTGGCTGCCACTCCATTGGTAACTACACTTTGGCAGAGACAAGCCGGGAACTGAAATAAATATTCAATCTATTGTTTTCAAGAAACATAGAGAACTGATACACCACTTAGATTTATTGTCCTAAGATAGGCTCCATCTGAATTAAAAAGTGATTCCCAATCAGAATCAGAACCATTTTACTTCACCTTGCGGGAAAATATCAGACTGCGGGTTACAAGAGCAGAGACACTGTTGGGACAGAATACAGACAAGGCCCAATTATTTTTCATGTCAAAGTCTCCTTACTTTCCTGGATCAGTGGAAAAGGGCTTAGCAAAAACAACATCTGGGAAGTCAATCTATGGAAAAATGTTGCAGGTCTGTCTTTGAGGGTCCTGTTCTTGGAGATGGAGGAATAGATTCCTTTCCACTTTTCAAAGAAAAAAACCCCAAACCATAACAAAGCAAAATCCCAGGGAGCCTGCTCCTCCCCATGCCCTCACCAGGGGCCTGTGACAGGTCCCAGGAGCAGCAAGACAATGTGCTGGTGTGCAACACACAAGCATTTCAAGCTTACCCAGACCAGAGAAGAGGTCCTGGAGCAGGTTTTGCCACTCTGCAGCTGGTAGGGGGAGAATTGCATATAAAGGAACCTGAAGTTACCATGTTATTTGAAGAATCAAACCCAGAATGGTATTTCCAAGCACATAAAAATATAAGACAAATATTTCTGCCTTGTTTGAAGAAAAGCACAGTGCACAGCCATAAATTGTACCTAGTTCTTCCCTTTCCTTTAAAAGAAATGGGATTGAAATTTGTGAAAGTACTGGAGACTCAGCTAGTGCACACACTTTCACTCCATATCTCACACGTGAACAAACACATCATTCTTCCTTGTGGTGCTCAAAATCCCAGTGTCTTCCTATTATGTTTACTCTTGACACAACCATGTTCCTCCTTCAGCCACAATCACACAGGTTTAGATAAAAGGTGCATTCAAGTGCAGAGTACTGATAATAACTCAGGCTCGATCTGGTCAGCAATATCAAGTGAACACTGCCCTCAAGGATCCCCACTCATTTTGTGGGGTGCCACAGGTTCAGTCCTCCTCCCATGTGCTGCCTGGTACAACAAAGGGCTGTTGGGCTGTCACTCACAGAAACCAGAAAGCTGGTGTTTGAGCATGGGCCAAAGAAAAGGAGAGGGGAAAAAAAAAAGGAAAAGGACATTAAGAAGGTGCTAACCAAGGTACAAAACCCACCCTGAGGTAACTTGCAGCAATGAACAGTGACATGGCAACAAACACAGCTGCTGTCTCTGCTGACTGCACCAGAAAGAGTCGCAAGCTACATTTAAACGTTGACCGAGTTCAGCAGTAACTGAAGCCACTCCTAAAACAGATCCAAGCAAAATTCTTCTTAGAAATGGAAAGTCATGGGTTAAAGAGATCCAGATTTTCTAAACCAGTATTTTTAATTGCTGACCATGCGAACGTGTAGTAATTTTAACCATGTAAAGTCAGCTTTAAGTCAATTGCACAGGGCAAGCTTAAAACAGACAAAAGCTGCACAACAAATGCCTTTTTCAATTAACACTGGGTTAACACAGACTTGACTTCTGTTGAGGCTCCTGAAGATATTTTACAAAAGAAAAACCCCAAGCCATTTCAAGTTCCTCTGCAGTTTCAGGTAAACGTATCAGAAACAAACCGACACCTGTAGCACTTGTTTCTTGTCTCCCGTACGAATGCTCTCACTCTCTTTACCTTGGAACAATCGGACATCAAACTTGATTGTTGGAAAATCAACAATCAATATTTGCACACCTCTCAGTGTTGCATCCTTACTGTTTACTAGTAAGTAAGCATTGCTTTAGGCACTGGTGCTTTAGAGTTAGTAAGGTGGGTGGAAATACAACATGTATATAAATACAGAAAGTACCCATATACATACATTTAGGCAAATAAACAGTGATGCTATGAATGGCCTCCACTCTCTTCTTCTTAAATATATAAACAACGCATCAGACTAGAAGTCAGTCTATCAGTTTTCATACAGCTGAGCTGCAGTCATGACCTAAAATATGGCTTATGTTGTGCGCAGGTCGGTTTGAGGACTGCTTGGAAGAATCTGAAGCAGATGTGTTTGCAATGGAAAGCAAAGGCGACATTGCTGAACCATCTGGAGGAAGAGCTGTGGCTATTTCTGGAAACAAAGACGTTAAGTTAAAATTGGATAAGTGCGACGTGTTGGTCATGTGCATTGGTGGCATATCTGGAAGCAAAGGAAAACTTGGCTGAGCAAAACCAACAGGCCTGGGAGGAGACAAAATGGATCCAAATCGATTGTTTAAACTTCCACTACTTGGCTTTTCTGTGCTTGGGTTAGGAAACATTTGATTGGGAAAGTAAGGGATAGAAATGTCATTGGAGAGGGTAGGGTGGGCAGGGGAGTAAGGTGGATAGAAGGATGGTAGCGTATTCTGAGGATCAACTGGGATTAGAGCTGGTGTTCGAGTGGCACTAGGCTGAGTGACCGGTGGAATGAAAGAGGCATTGGCATTTATTGGTGGATTCATGCCACCCTCTGGAATAAAAGGGAATCCAAAATTTTGAGAGAGAGTATGTTGGTCAGGGGCCGTGTTATCGTTAGATACTTGAGGGCCATCAGACATAAACCGGACAATGCTTCCTCTTTTTTCTATTGCGGACTGCTGGCGCCCAAGGATCATACTGCCACTGGTGGACAGGGGAAGATGGGGAAGACTAGGGTCAAAGACATTTCCATGTCTTTGATTTCCAGATCGATTCCTTTCAGGCTGACGTATTTTAGAACCTCCGTTGTCTTGCAGAGGATGTCTTGACCGCTGAGTAACTGAAGAATTTGGCTGACGAACAGAAGGCTGCCCTTGCTCACCATTTCCGTGAGAAACCGCAGGGTGAGGGTGCGTTGGCCTCACGACCCCATGCATGTTGCTAGAAACAGGCGTATTCATGTGGCTCTTAGTTCCATGACTGTCTGTCATCCTCATGGGATTGGACTTCTGCACAGAGATGTTTGGGCTTGTATTGCGACCCTGAATATCTCCCGAGGAAGAAGAACTCGAAAAAGGAATAGTCAAAGAACTGTTCCTTGTGTTAATTGCCCCAATAGACATGTCACAGCTTTCCCTACTCTGGCCATCACCGTCTCTTCGGATGTGGACGCCGTCTCGCGCTGGGGGACAGTTGTACTCTATTGTGGAGGAGGCGCCACACTGTGTGTTCCTTTGATGTTCTGGGATTGATCTTTGGCTTCCACTAACTTGATCTCCAAGGTGAGGGGCGAGCAAACTCTGCATGAAACTTTGGTGGCACGTGTTTTCGTTTTCCCTTGATGGTAGCGTATTCCCCGTTGGAATACCCTGAACTGGCTGGTAGGGCAGTCTCTTCTGTCTCTCTATGGAGGGCCCAGTATTTTGACCGATTCGGAACGCTTGTGACTGCATGCCCCTGAGGGATGACACAGAATTGCCAATTTCACTGTTCCTTGAAGCCTGAACATCGAAATTGCCCGTCGGTTGTTGATTGGGTCCGGTGGGCTTAAATGTTTGGCAATCAGAAAGACGCTGCACATCTGAGCCAACTGTGTGGTCGACAGACAAGCGGCCCTGCATATTATGAATCGCCAACCCTTTATTCCTAGAAACATCAAGATAACTTCTCATTTCGAGCTGGTCAGAAACCCTAGGGCCTTGAAGAGATATTCCTATTCTCTGCTCCGAATTAGAGGGCGTTTTCCCAATGAGGGCCTCAGCAGAGTAGCTGGAAACTCTGTTTCTCTCCTGCCTGTGAGGGGTGCACGTCATATCTGATGGTCTGGTTACGATGCTTGCCTGGGACACCATTTGCTGCTCTAAGCCCCTTGAGGTCATAAGTCTTTGCATCTGATTGTGCCCTGAAACATGTTCAGAAGCGGAACCTTGCTGTCTGCTGCTAACATCTTGTTGCTGCTGATGCATAATATCCTGATTCATATGGCTCTGAGGGTGGGTATGGTGGTTTCTGCTTGTTGCAGGATTTTCACAGTTCTTTTCAGGCTGGGAAGCTCCGAAGTGCTGCTGCATCTGCTGCTGCATTTGTTGGTGGTGAGGATGAGGCTGACCACCCTTTTGCCGTGTTTGATCACTTCCGTGGTGTTTCTGCTGTAGGGAAAGCTGCGTGGCTTGCGTTCCCTGGATGAGATTCCTTTTCTTTTGCATCTGCACCTCCTGCTGTATTGTTCGCTGTTGGTGGACACTGTGGGGTTGAGAGTGGACTGAGTTTTCCCCGTGAGTGACATGGTGCTGCAGCTGATACAAGTGGTGCCTCTCTCTCAACTGACCAGCCTGCTGTTGCTTTAAATATGGGTGATTATTGTGAAGGTGAGAGATGCCTTGAGAAGGAACATGTTGAATTGGCTGCAAGTGCTGCCCTGCCTGGCCTGGCTGCTCTGAAATTGATGGCTGAGAACCACACTGAACCTCAGTTTGCCTCAAAGCTGGTGTTACAAAATTGCTGTTGGATGGAAATAACCTACTGAGGCCATCAGCGTGCCCTTGATTGCTCACGGACACCACTGAATTGGAAGAATTAGGAGGAATCTGACTGACCAGCATCTGTGTTTGATCAGCAATACTCTCTGGTGTCCGGTTCATCAGTGCCATCCCCTCAAGCCTTATGGGTGCTGTCTGGCACTGCTTTTGCCTCTTTGCTGTAGAAAGCAGAAGGTCATCTTGAACGGCCCGCTTGGCTGAGTCTTTGCGACCTTCGTGACTTTGATGCTTTAAGTGTGACTCCTGCAGCTGGGGAGCCTGCATGGTGCTTGCCCTAATGGCATTCAGTTGTTCCTGAGCATACTCACTCATCATAGCGGGTCCTGGAGATTGATTGATATACGTGCTAGATGGAAGGGAGAGGCTCACAGTTGCAGGGACACTCGCAGGCTCCGAAGGCTGGGATAAACTTGAGCAACTCACCAGGGGATGGACAATGCGACTCTGGTGTATTAGATTATTCACGCTTAGACTGGTTATGCTTGGTGTCTGGGAGGTGGAAATCTGCAAAGGAGGGTTCGATGTTTCTACACCTCCTACGGAGCAGCTTGGCTTTTCAACCTGCCTGTCAATGTTTGCCGATGCTGTATCGTGAGCACTGAATTTGTTTGGGGCCACTTCCAACGGTCCTGCATTGTTTTCTTTCACTGACTGAGGTTTAAAAGGCTGTTGCTCTCTCTCCAGCGGTGCAACCTCAGCTGACTTAGAGACAGCATCCCTCGTGTTAACCTGTACTCCTCCTCCACTTTTCTCAAGGTTTTCCTGGTCAAAAATAGCTCTCGCCGCAAGAGCTACAATATCAGTCTGTTCTGAAAATGTGCAGCTGTTACAGGTACTGGTTGAGGTGCTGCTTGTGACATCTTCTCTGGTGGTGTCTGGCAACATAGATGCAACTGAGAAGCCTCGACTGCTGCCAGAGCTGGTTGACATCGGGGAGTCTGCCTGCCTGCTAGCAATAAGGGAAGCACTGACTACTTCCTGATCAGAGATGCAGGAGTGATGCTGGGAGAGAGTGTCACCTTCCGAGTTCATTAGCAAGAGTTCCTGCTTCTCGGGCAAATCAACATTTGATTCTGCTGATTTGGAGTTTTCCATAGGAAAATTAGAATGCTCCCCCTGAACAGTAAATGAAGAGGTTTTTTCCACAGCTGTTCTTTCTTTTGTGAGATCAGACAGCATTTTGGTTAGACCCTGTCCTTCTAACAAGTCTGCATCTTGCATTACCACTGAGGAATCCTGCTCAATGTTGCAGGACTCCGAAATCATTCCTGCCTTGGAATTATGACTTGTTGTGCCGCTCTGTGCTGCTGATGTCCCAGCAACCTGAGAATGTGTCACCTGTGCTTCGCTACGGGAGGACGTTAAGGTGCTGGGAGGTTCACAGGGTTTGGGAGACTCTGACAAGTCAGAGACAGTTGGAGGGTGGTTCTGAGGTCCAAGTGCCTGCTGGTGAGGAGCAGCATCTTTGGGAGCCGATGGGACAAGAGGCAGCTGCTCTGACACCACGGGCTCCAGTGGTAAAGAAGCAGGTGCCTCTGCCGAGCTTGGCTCGGGAACAGAGGGTGTTTTCACTGCCTGTTCAGAACTAGCAGTCTCTTTGGAATGAGCGTCAGAAATACTGACACCACTCGATGCTGCCACGCTGCTTGCCTGTGATGTAGTTACAGCTTGAGATACTGCTGGAGTGTTTTCCAGCAGCCCTTCCCCACTTGAATGCCTTGCCGCTGTTTCCACAGGAGCACAGTCCACCTTCCCTGCATCTTTGCAAGAAACTGTTGCGCAGGACACTTTATTGTTGACTGCTTGGTGTTTCTTCGTACTCGGCTTTTTGTTTGTCCTTTTTGATTTTGCACTGGATGGCAAGCCAGCAGACGGTTTTTTGGGGGAAGCATTTATTGAATTAGATGCACTGGTTAGTACTGAAACCTCCGCAGGCACTGAAGATGCCACAGAAGTTGGTAATGACACACAGTTAACTGTGGCAATCTGGTTATTGACGGTTGCGGGATTGGTGGGGTGGCTGAGAGACAAGTGTAAGCAGCTCTGCCCAGCCATCTGCGATATGCTTTGATTGAGGTTGGCTAAAGCACCAAATGTATTGAGGGCAACATTGGTATTTGGATCTTCGCTGGTGGTGGGTTGAATAATTTGCATAGGGGCTTGATTTGAAGCTCCAGATGAGGACATCACAGGCTGCAATGCAAAAAGCTGCCCATTTAATGAGATAGTCTGAGGATGCTGTTGATTGGACATTGTGACTGAAAATGTTTGAGTAGAGCTAGAAGATGGCAAAGAAGATGGTCTTGGTAATATATGGACAAGGTGTTTTCCTCCAAAAGTCTGTGGAAGAGAGGCATTTTGCATGGAGCTGCTGGAGTTCGCAACTGCAGTCGGCCCATTCGCAGGAACTCTTACAGAAGCAGAAGGCTGAGCGGAGAGGAGGGGAAGAGGATTCTGATTAGCAGCCTGTATAATTACAATTTGCTGACTAACATTTTGGCTGGGAACTTCTGCTCTCACAATCGGAGGGCACGGAGCGGGGTTTGGAGGCTGGAGAATGATGACGTTCTGGTTAGCTGGCGCTCCTGTAACAGCTGACGCGACTGGCTGAGCCATCTGAATCACCTGCATAGCTGAATTTAATGGAAGGATACTTCCTGCAGCCTGAGTTTTAACCTGTGGCTGGCTGATTAAAGGCTGCATAGGTAAGGGTGGGCACGAGGGCAAGGTAACTACAATCTGTTCAGCTGCCTGGCCATCCCCAGGCAGAGAAGCATTCAAACTGATACTGGTAGTCAAAGGCCTGCTGTGAGCAGAAGACACAGTACCAGCACCATTAACTGGCTCGTTTAATAGTGCAGTCATTATACCAGATGGCGTTTGGCTTAGTGGCTGGACAGTATTTCCTGCCAGCTGCAAAGTGGTCCACGTGGTCTGTGTGTTTCCAGTTGAAGGCATCCGTGTAAGGCTACTCATGTTTTTCAAGTCTGAAGTGCCAACACCTGAAGAGCCTGAAAAAGACCAGCAGTTCTCTAAGGGACTGGCAGCCAGAGTGCTTATTGCTGTCACAGCCTTAACTCCTTCTGCTGCAGAGGTCGCAGGCACTCCAGCACTGCTCACTACATCTGTGCTTTTGAGGACATTTACAGAGGAAAAGCTATCTGCAGTAGAGAGTCTCACAGGTGGCACACAAGCTGTGTCTGTGGCTGATATGACACAGCTTTCCTGGAGGTCACTCCTGGAATTGTTTGTATTTGAGCAAGCTGCATTCACCTGTTGAACTGGGGAGGCTTCCACAGAGACACTGGAAGGAAGGCTGGTTCCCTGCAGGAGTGTTTTCTTTGTTGGCTTAGTGCCCTCCTCATCATTTTTACTTTTGGGGAGATTTTGATCATTCTGTGGTGCATTACTTGAAGAACACTGTAGTTCCTGTTCTGTGCTGGACTGAGATGCACTCTGTGAGCTGGCAGCAGCAGTGGTGAGCACACCTCGCTCGTTCTCTGGGGTGGAAAGCTCAAGAACGGGCCCTGCTGGAGCAGTCTGAGCAGATGCCAGTGGAGAAACTGTAGGCTGAGACCATGGCTTATTTTCTGTGGGATAAATGCCAGCAATCGTCACAGGAGTCACTATGTTGCAAGTTCTCTGAACTGGCACAACATTGGCTGTTTGCTTTTGTAAATTATGACCAACATTAAACGTTATTCCCTGGACAGGTGCTCCTTGGTTATTTCCATTGGGTTGACTCCCATTAGAATAGACAATGATGTTCTTTTGAACCTGATCGCTGGGAATAACAACTGAGACCTTCGCATTTTTGAGATTCCCTTTCCAGTGGATTGTAGGGTCATCATACAGGCAAATATCATTTGCTTTCAGTAGTTCGATGTATCTCCCATTTTCCTTTTGCAGTTCATCCAACTGTTTCCGGAGTTTTTTTATCTCTTCAGCTACAAAACAGTGAGAGCACTCCATTACATCATCAGCAGAACAAATAATGAAATAATGTTATACCACATGACTTAGAGAGTAAATACTGTGTAGTAATGAAATAAATTGTTGAAATAAATGGAATAAATTGTTAATAATGTATTCTCTCTTCAGATTATTAACATAACTTAAGTGAAGACTCTTATCCTGATAAGCCTCTCTACTGAGTGGGAAAGTGAATGAACTTCACAGACTATTCCATTACCAATAGCAGGATATGCCACATTACTTAGAAAAAACTTCAGGACTAACTCAGATGAAACTGAACACTAAACAAAATTGTTTAATTGCTGAAGGAAAGACAAGCACATTAATCTTTTTCTTTTCCCTGCTCTTTTGCAAAGACAAAAACTGATTTTATTCAATTGATGATCTCATGGCTTTCCAGTGGAATTAAGTTCCATTGCTAAAAATCATAAGCAAAATTAAATACAAAGCACTTGTGTAAAGCCACAAAAACTGGCAAATCGCTTGGGAGACAGTTCACCTAACCAGGAAAACCACCTAGGTTTTTCAAATCCAACTATATCAAAAAGATAAACTATTTAGAATTCAAAAACCACCACATTAGCTCTGAGATTATTTCTGTCATACCTCCATCACTGTACTTTTACATATCTGTTCAAGAAGATTTTATATGATGCACTGTATTTTTATTAAATGGGCCACTACAACTTGTACAGCTTTTGAAAGAAAAGAAAAAAGCTCTATGAATGAAGGAAACTCCATGTTTTGGATGAAAAAAATCCAAAGTTTTGTCAGAAATCACTCTGGTCACTATAGAAGCATAAACTGGGACAGGAGTTACTAGATGATGTCACATCACCTATAAACTCTGTAATTACTTCACGATACAATTACTTCATTATCTCACAGCTATGTGCAAGAACAATCACTTGGGTATTCTGTTGGCTTTTTGTTTCAAGATATTCTAAGCAGTTGTTATTTTTCCTGTATGTGCATAATGTCTTGGGATTCCCGTTTGTTGATGCAGGCTTTGTTAGTCAGTACAAACAGACACACAGTGGAAGTGAGTGATAGAAGTCCTAGAGCCTCCAGCAGCATCTGCACTTACCCTGTTCATTGTTCCCTCCATTTAATAGAAGTTCATCATTCTGTCTTTTCATTTCTGTTATGTACTTAAAGGCCTGATCCAGGATCATGTTCTTGCTCTTTAAAAGAAAACATACACATATAATTAGGAGACAGGTCTAGAATTGGTAGATCAAATAATGATGAGACTGCATTTGCTCCAAAAGGTCTTTAAAAAGTGCTACCTTTAATGACTCCTTATGGCTGGGTAGGGTTTGTTTTGTTTTGGGGCTTTTTTGTTTGGTTTTGGTTTTGGGTTTTTTTCTTGTTTTGTTGTGGTTTTTTTCTTTTTTTTTTTTTTTTTTAAGATGAACTACAGGTTTCATGAGTGACTCTGACCCTAAAATGCTGTGAGTTTTTACAGAATAACATTTTCAGTGCTGGAGCTGACATTTTCTGATGCCCAAAGGTAGATACTATGGCCACAGAACCTGAACAGCCAGCAATCATTTCTTGCAGATCAGCCTAAAATTTATGTTCACTAATAAACACATATATTACATGAAATTTCCAGGATACTGTCTTGTAAATATTTTACTAGGAAAGAAACAAACATGGAACAACTACGCAGGGAGATATATGCATAATGTTGTAAGTAATATACTGCAAAATATGGGAAGAGAAAATAAGCCCCCCACCATCATCTTTTTATGAAACTATGGTTATTCTGCCTGCAAGGCCTTTGTTCACTCCTTAATTTCTTCTACTGTTCAGTAGGAACAGTCTCTGCTGGAGATAGCTTTGCCTTTGAAAAAGATGCTTCTGTGCATCAACCTCAAACCATTTTTCTTGCTTCATCTTTCACAAGGACAGTGTCTTAAATTACTGCTATTATTTCAGTTTCTATATTGCTTTCATCCCATTATATCAAAGATGACAAAAATAAGCATGAATGGAATTCTATTGACATCTTATGACATTAAAATGAGCACCTGCAAAGGGCTGAGCAGGGATTGGAGAATGACCTGAAAAGAGACCCTACTTAATCCATAGCTTTCAGCACTCAGTCATCACACAGACTGTAGAAACTGGCTTTACAAACAGGAGTTGCACAATGTAACCAGCAACCCACTGACCTGATCTAACCCACTTCTGCCCAGCCTGCCACCCCTTCTACAGAGGAAATCCTGCATTTATGAGTTGAGGAGAAAGTCATTCACTTTAGCAGTCATATGCAACACTGTCAGATAAAAGGCTGAAAATCTGTGTAATTACATTAACATGACCCTGCACTTCCAAAAAGGAATTCTATTGCAAATAGTTTTTTTGAATACAGCTAGTGAGATTACTGAGAATATAAATTCAGACAGTTTTACCTTCTTCGTAAGACAAATGGCAAAATATGTATTTATATACCTCTACAAACAAAGAAACACTTGAGCATTTCACAGGAAAGCCTGTATGCACCTCTGGGTGGAAACTCACCTGCTTAAGTGCTGGAGAGCAGGGAATGAGTTCTCCAATTCTGTTTATCCCAGCATTAATCTTCTTCTTTCGATGTCTCTCCACTAACCAAAATAATATGTACTGTGTCATCTGGTTGGGCAAGTCAGCACAACAGCAGCACAACTAATACAGGGTAAGGGCTCATAAATACATTTTTTCATTGCACATTGAAACTCGTAGTAACTTGAGAGAAGAAAAAAATTCCTCTAATGTAAGCCTCAATTAATTAATACTTAGTGGAATTGAGAGCCATGACATAAGCAGCTATATCTTTAAAAGGTGGGGACTTTCTGGACCCCTTCATGGAAAAGAAGAGTTACTGCAACTCAGAATTCAGGTTTTGGTACTGCTTTCTAGCTGAGTTTCCTGTCACTTTTTTCACAAGTTAGATAGATTAAATTTAGGCATGCAGAAAGAAAGCATATGAACCAAGATTATGGAATGAATCCATCTCATATTTAGGAAGATAACCCATGTCTGTTAAATACTAAAGTCAGGTTTAGCATAAAAGGAGAAATAACATGGATTTTATTGGTCTTCAGTCTTAATTTTAAATTTATATTGATGGTGCAGCCAACACTAATCATAGCTGAAGCTCTAGGTATAAGGATTATCAGTTACTCCACCTAGTTTGGAGAAGGCCAGAGAATGCTTCATCTGTAGTCCTCTAGTGACACCATTTACCTCTTCACAAGGCCCGAGCAGTGGCCAAAAGAGTCTATAAGTCTAGGACTGTAGATACCTTTGGGTATGTTTTTTTCAGATAGTATTAATCTTTGTTTTCCATCCACCATAGTCAGTCTCTTCCAAATACAGTTCATTTTTAAGTAGTTATTTTTTTTTTGACTGAAATGTTTTCATGTTCTACATGAACTAAAATTATTAGATGTCTCTTCCCCAAAAACCCTGAAAAAAAGGTTCTGTTATGGCTTTGTCAAGGTTCAAGCTGGTGTTCACTGTGCTGAACAAAGCTTGTGGTTTGTTCACTTCAGCTGCTTTTGGTGGCACACAGAAACCTGTCACTGTCACACAGTGACCTACAGGTGAGTGTATTCCATTTTGATCCTTTACAAAGGACATATCAATTTAATTTAAACAGTTCTATTTCAGTAGTCTGTCACTTCAGTTTACATTTCTCAAACAATTACATTTTTTTTTTATTTTATTTCAGGACAGATTGATGGCCTTGACAGAGACAGGCCTAAATACACTAAACACAGCAAGACAAAGCAAGAAATTTACTGTATAAATTACAGCAGCATAAACATTTGAACATATGATACCTGGGACTTAGTTATTCTATGTCTTACTAATACATAGAGACATTACAGTGGTTGTGAAGTGCTACTCTTCTGTTTTGATATTTGCCACACTCTACTCAGCTTGTCCAGATATTAATGACTAAGCAAGCTATAGGGCTGGAGGGAGCTGGTCCCCACATCTTGCAGAGTTCAGCCCAGTAAATAAAGATTTTGGAAAGCTATTGGCAAGTAAATCAGGAACTGAGGATTAGAATGAGGCCAGCAAACTTAGAAGTAAACTTGATAAGACTATTTCCTGATACTTCCTAATTCTTTAGAAATTGGCCACACCCTGAGCGCAGCCTGACAAGCACTATGTTCCACAGCTTTCACATGGAAACTACTCAGTGTGAAGACCACATTATAGTGCTGTTTAATGAAAGAACTGTGATCAGTTTCTTAGGATAAACCAGACTCAAACCCGTCAGAATCCTCCTCAGTCCATCTTTCTGCTCATACTCATAGAATATGCCATTGTAGCTAAACACTGATTAGTTGCTGCCTGAGGAATGTGACTCCTGCAACAGACAGACAGTATTTGCAAAAATTTTCTGGGATGTCAGCAGTCAGGTGGGTGCCTTAGTGACAGGCTACAGGAATACTTCTAATCCAGGGAACTTGCAAAACTCTCAGGTCAGATATCTGTCTCTGTTTTGAAACAGGTGGAAATTAGTTGGCCCTGAATGCCAGTGCATTTATTTTCCTTTAGAATTGAACACAGCTGATATTGTTTACTTCTTAATTTACAAGCATTGGAAAGCCAGGGGCATGGTCCTCCCCTTAAAAATGTATTATGGAAAACAGCCAACTAGAAACAACCAAGAAGCCCTTCTGCAGATATTCTACCCAAGGACGCTGAAAGGTGTTTGACAGGGTGAGTTTTTTTAAGTGTAGTTCCTCCTATGAAGGAACCTTCTCCATGTAAAATATATTTTATTAGTTCAAAGCATCTGTGCTTATTCCCAGACCAAATAACAAAGTATAATGTTTCTACCTGCATTATGTGTCTCCCGGTTTTTCTTTCTGTGAAATATAAAGGGAAAACAGTGATGTGAAAGAGAAGGGAAAAAATCTGCACACAAACAAAAATTTATTATTTCCATTACAGCCAAAAATACTCAATATTATAGTCTGGTCTGTGAACAAGAACACAGCAGAAGTCACAACCAGATGTTCTTAGACATTGATATTAAATAATTTCTAACCAAAATTTGTTCACGTTCAGACTTAATTTCAGTATAACAAGGCACAGTGTAATATTCCATTTGATTATTGGTACATATTTCTAGGCAAAACTGGGTTTTTATGTTTCTGTTCAGCAACAACTGCTATACTATGCAGTGCTCAATATGGCCAAATATTAAAAAAACTAGTTCTGTTTCTGAGAACAAGGCAGTTAAGTATTTGTTTGAAATGTCACTTTTACAGTCACTGGATCAATGTTTTTACAGAAAACAGAAAGAAAATGTTACCATGCAAGTTCATGTTTCTAGCCTTATTATCTTCAAACATCATACCTTCTGGTATCAAAAATGCTTCCTTTGCGAGAGAAACCAGAAATACTGTTCCTCAGCAGCTGTTCTTTACTGTCTCAAAATTCTGTCTAGGTATAATTTGGGCATGTGAGGGTTCTCTCTGGTTTCAGATGTCCACCTGAGGGTCACAATCACTGTGTAATGCTTCAATTTTGCTTTGCTGGAAGTCAATAAATCCCAAATGTGTATCCTACTTATATAAATCATGTACTGTATACATGCAAATAATACAAATACTTTCAGGAAGTGTAGTAAAGCAAAACACCTCTTTTCTGGAAAAAGAAACATTCCAGGAAAAAAAAATAATCTTCTAGAAGATTTCTGTCCAGCAGCACACCCTCAGTCTAGATGTGTGCCAAAAGGATGCATGTTTTGCTCTTCTTTTCGACTGTCACAGCACAGTCCAGATATAACAAGGAATCTGAAGTGAGAATGCAAGATACATGTGGGTGATGTGTGACTACTATGAGGCACGTATCCTTTTTAATTCAAGTAACTCACCGAAAGTAGTGTAATTTAGACAATGATTACAGGACAGGACTGTTACTGTAGGCGGTCAACCTGGAGATGTCCACTAAAATGATCATATATACTGAATATGCACAAGAATATAAGGATTGAAGAGACCCAGCTGCCATTTGATTCACATTACCAATACAGAATACAAAATGCTCTATTAGTGGGTAAGAAAGAGTCACGAAATCCATAAAGACCGAAAAACTTTCTGTAGGATGAATCAGTGTTCTCTCTGAGCTTTTCCTAATCATAAATCATACCCTACACGGTCACCTAGCATAAGGTGAATGCTGCATTTAACTGTGGACTGAAGCACTCCCCTACCAATCAGGTGTTAATTAGATCAACATGCTACTAAAAGGAATGAAAACCAGGAAAAGTTGTAATGACCGCCAAGTTACTTTGTTACCAATTTTGGTCATAGAGTTGCTGTACAATCTCAAGATGTATTTTGAGTTCCAGCAGAGGTTTGAGTGTAAGATCCAGATTCCACTGAGGAGGAGATCTAACTATACTCACTCTGTCAAAGTGAGTATAGTTACCCCCCAGTATCCACCAGGAGCCTCTGCAGTAACACGGCCTGCACTCCAACCAGGACGGCGACACATCGGAGTAGTCAGTGTAATAATCAGAGAATCTCTTTGGCCCAGGTGACCCAGCTAGGCATGTCTCCTGCAAATAGTTTGGCACAGACAGGGCAAGAGAGAAAGGGAGTTTTGCAGCCATAGGTTCCAAACTTTTGGATCAACCCTGGTCAAGCCTCAGAACTTCTTGTCAATACCCTTACTGCCAAACTTTCAGCTGGAAACTTTGTAACTGCAACATGACCTCAGACTACCAAACTACAACACAGTCATTTTCCCACAGGAACTCACCGATGTTGCTTCTTAGTAGGTGTCTCATTCTCTGTCATCTCTGGCATGGTTCCGGAGAAGAGAGCCTGAGGAAAATCATGGAAGGAATTAACAACTCCTGCACTCTCCTGAATTCTTAGCACATGACATTTGTTACACCCCTTTGCTTTTCACCACAAAAGTCCACCACCCTGACTTAGAGCAGCTGATTTCATGAGCAATACAAATAAAGCACATTACCTACAGGGGTGCTTCGTGAAACCTGTTTATGATGAACTGGTTTCCATTTCCTGAATTATTTTAAACATAGAACAAATTGTAATCCAAACCCCTTTAAGGAAACAAGAAGAGTTTATAATTATAACATTAGAGTATATGATTGTTTTTGAATGGGAGGAAGAACAGCTGAACTCTCTTTCATCAGCCCTTTCTCACTTAAAATGCTTTCTATCCCCAGTTCTAAATAAAGCATAAATGCTAAGCAAAATACAAGCTACAATGAGGACATTTTAATAACTACAAATTTAGAGTGCCATTAATGTAGCAAATTTGAAAAATTACTCGATATTGAACTACATTACATTACTTAAAATGACCAAAATTGACACCCTATATTCCCAGATATATAAAATTCAGTTAAAAATAAAGTTATGAAATAAAGTTATACATAACAGCCTATTAAGTTGCACCTAACTTGTCCTCAGCTTGAACACATCAGTAGCCTATATTTAGACAAACAAAACCATTATAAAAATAAACAAAAGGTGAGATTGAGTCAATGACACATTAATACATATCTACCAGAGAAATGAATTTTAGAGAGAAAGTAACAAGAAGTGTACTGTAGCTGACAAGAGGAAAATAAAACCTGTTCTTTTGATATGGCTGAGCTCCATATTTAGTTTCACCCTTCTGCTCGTTCTCTCACCAACCAACCTGTTCTTGCAACTCTTCCCATGGGCCCTCAGCCTCCTCGTGGCTTCACCTCTCCCTGGCTCCTCCTGGAAAGCTCACTCGGCTTGTTTTAACAGGCTTCATACCTTTAGGGTGTATTTTTGTTTGTTTGTACTGTAAGGAAGTGGGGGTGGTTTTTAATACAACTTTCAACACCAAGCAGTTCTTAACGTAAACTGAGCCTACCACTACTGACATCAAAAATAAACCCCAGAAATAACCTCCTTACAAATCAGAAAGCCCCAAAGCTCCCAAAGCACTGAAGCATACACACTTCACAAAGTGTTCTGTGCATACACTGTGTGTATGTGTGGGTCAATAATCTGTATTGTAACAGAACTGCATTCAGATACTGCTTTCCAGTCTTTACACTCTAAAAGTCAATTGAATGCAGTGCTCTCATTCAGTAAAGATTAACAAGAGGAGAAACATTACGGCTGATGCTGTTTACCACTCTAATACTTCTTTAAGTACTTTCTCTATTCCTGTGAAGACATGGGAAATGCTGACAAACCACGAAGCAAAGCAAACAGGCAACATCCTGCAAATTGATCCAGACTGGGGAACTCAAAGTGCCTGAAGTTTTCAGGCACCTAATTCAATTCCACCTATACAACAGTGTTCACACCACCACAAAACTGGACACAATCACCTCAGAGACGAGTTATAGCATTCTATTGCCCCACTGGATTTTACAATCAGACTACACGCAGTCACCTCAGCCCTCCCTAGCCCATCAACAGGAGCACATCACTTTCTATTTACACGCCTCCACAGACTTTGCTTTCTCTGTGGTCACCCACCATCCTCTGCATAAATTATGAAAACACCTGACAGAGTTAACAGTCTTTTACTGTGGGAGAAAGTAGTGCTGCAACTTCAGCACTTTCATGCGCTCTCTGATAAATTACCTTAATTAGCTCAATTCCTTAACAAATTTGTTTTCATTTATATGCAGGAAGATTAATCCAGTTGGTATCCCAGGTCCTCTAAGTTAGTAAAAATTCACAACTCTGAAAGCCAGGGAAGCCAGTTTCCCATGCAAGGCACCTATAACTTACTCCTCCTGTGTACAGCTGGTGATGGTCAGTAGTACTTACTCACTTGTTCTAGCTGCATTCGTTGTATCAGGTGATGAGGAAGGGGTTAGCTGGGAGAGTTTAGCTGATGTGAGATTCTGATTATAAAAACAAAAACAAACAAAAAAAAAATCTGGTTAGAGCCCAGGCATCTTTGACGCTGTTGGCAACCAGAGATGTTCACATGAACACTGAAAGACCGAGGTCAGCACACCTCGATTCAGCAGGGTTTTTCCAGTTGTGTCAAAGCAGCCCAGCAGAATTTATACCCATTAAGGCTACCAGCAAAGCCAGGAGCAGCGACCTGGTAACACTACACTCTCGTGTATCCATCACTGAGACAATACCTCGTGTATCAGGTGAAATAGCTATTCAAGGGGGCAATTTAATTCAGTGTATACTAAGTATTGTTTCTATTTAGTGAGGATGTGAGCACAGAGCACATGGACATAGTTCTGGTACAGCAATGCTCACAAAGATGCTTAGAAAAAGGAAGATGCTGAATTGCATCTTGTGGCAGTCACACACCCCGTTTCTTGACTTCTGCATCATTTGTATGGGCAGAGTGATGTATCTCTTATTGTGCATTACCAGACTATGGCAAAGATGCTGGAAATCAGAGCAAAAAAATAAAGGAGGTCTTAGTTTTGGGGAAACTTAGCATTTTTGAAAGAAGAATGTATTCATCAAGCAACCATATTTTTTTAATGTTGCAGATTCATACAACTTGAGAACTAAATTACTATATCTGTATTACAATGTACTTAATATGGAAAAAAATTAATGTGAATTTAGATGACCAGCTACCATGCAGGGCTGCAGATAAAGCACAACTGTGTGAAGGTAAAGGGTGTAAAAAAGCACCCACCCAAAAATACCCTCTCCCAGAACAGACACAGCTGCTCTGATTCTCCCTGCACAGTCCAGAACACACTCACAACCCCATCTTCCCCCTGCCCTGAGTCACAGCACCCACTTCTCCCTCCTGACATGGGTTCTCCATACTCCTATATTTAGGCTTCTTCTGCTCCCAGTCTGTGTCCCCTCAGCAAAGCTCTTATTCCTAATAGCAGCATCCCCTTCTGCCAAAGTCATGATCTACACAATTTTCCAGCTGCCTTATTTCTTCCTCTGAGTAGATGCTAAATTCAGCAATTCATTGTATATGGTATTTAGGAAGACAGACAAGTGGAAGTTTGTGCAGAAACTTATTAATACAGCTTCTAACCATTTTCTGATCCTGAGAAAGGATAGGCAGTCCTTATTACATGTCAAAGACCCCACTTCTTTCTTTCTCCTCTGCCCGTTTTTTAAATTATGCCATCTTTCAAGTGATGCTGTTAACTGCATGTTTCAAGCTAGCTGCTGACACACCAAGTGTATAAACCTCACAAATATAAACAACTTAAAGTCTGTATTTTATATGCTTTAGGTCCACTGGGATCTACAGCCCATTTCATACGGCAGACAGGGCATAGGAATGCAATGACTGTTATTCTAACTTCACTTTACTGTGGAATTATTTCAAGTCAAGTTTGTCAAAGTTTGCCATTCAACCAATGTTTCCACAAAAGTTTCAAAGCACTAGTAAGAAAAAACAAGGCTATACACATTATCTAATTAACCACTTAGTTTATTTCAAGTTCCACTGAAAAGAGGTGGTTAAGTTTGTTAAACAACACTTGTATACAGCTCTGGGGTTTCTACCAATAGATTGTACCATAAGGAATATGGTGAACTTAAGTTGTTTTTTGCCATTCTTATACTGTAAAGACAAAAATGTTTGCATTTTACTTGATACTCCACAAAACAGTTCGATCTGGCAACACCAGGAAGGTGGTGTTCCTTAAGAGCTGCTAAAAATATGGGCTTTGTGAATTGAAAAGAAAATAAAAGTGCTGCCTAGGTGGAGACTTCTGAGGGCTGATGAATAATGGTTACACTGTCTCCATTTCTTCCCCTCAGCTGTTGTATCACCACAGCTTTGACAATGGGCTTCTCTTTACTTCTTCCACATCAAGTAATGCTTCTTCACGGCGAGATTCCTTCCCTGATTCTCTAAAGCAGAAGACATGTTTTTGCTTTATAAGCTCTGAGCCAAGTGTATTTTAAGTTTCCTCATGAAATACGCTCACTTAGCTGAACGTCTTCTGCAGAGAGTATGTAGCAAATCCCAAATTCTACAGACAGATAAGAAGAAGCAATTCAACACTTTATATCTATTTAGTACCAAGGTTTCTTCAAGCTTTATGTAGTTTATAGCACTTACAATGTCAACCTAAAATACTGATTTTAATTTAAATGCAATGTCAACCCCAGAAATTAAAAGATACTTTGAGAAGATTTGAGTTTAACATAGTTTAATCTCCTCTATAGTTGAGAAACATAGGGTATGAAACTTAAAATCAACCTGTTTAAGTATCTTCTTTTCTACCACCCATCTTTGCAGGCATTATTCAGCAAATTTTACAAAATCTTTTCATCAAAACATGCACTGACCAGATTTAAGAAAAAGTTAATTTAGATTATTTTATTTGGCCTTATTTTTTCACTCTTTATTTAGGAACTGTTTCAAAACTTAGTATTGATTTTTAAAAAGAAAATAATTATTCTAATCTGTTATCTTTCTGCCTTCCTCAAATTAGCAAAGCTATTCCATTCTTCTGCATGAGGCAGAAAGAACCTTTTTAATATGCAGCTACACATATTCTGTAAAACTACCAGCAGTCCAAATCTTTCTTCCTCTTAAAATACTTCAGGAAGTTTATGCTGTTACATTGCTACAATCTCACAGTTCTTACTGGTTTGGTACACCTCGTGAACTTAGCCTTAATTTACAGCTAAGATCAGTTACAAGGCACAGAAAAAACCTTACTCAAGTGCTTTTTCCTGCAAGACAGTGTCTTCTTCATTCAAGCAACTCCTGGAGCTCACTTTTCCAATCTTCCATGCATGTTTCAGAACAGGGCTAGCTTCAATCAGGGACTTAATCCAAGCTTTTAGTTGCAAGCAAGGTGCCCTTGCGATCAAGAGACATGATTTACTGCCCTTTATTTACTCCCCTTCGGAACACTTCTATTTTAATTTTTTATTTACCTAATAAAATGATTGCAGGAAGCACAACTCAAAGCTTACCTCTGTGATTGTTACCTATGTATATCAACTACTGTTGCCTGTCACATTAATCTCTTACAACTACCACACAGGAAAATGAAAAGGGCAATTATTCCTGGCAGAAGTCCCTTGCGTATCTCTCAGTTTGGGTTCTGAAGAAATCAAGGTTTCCTTGTTACTGTATCCCTTAATCCACTCACAGCACAGCTGGGCCCACTGACTGACCTAAATTAATCCCCTCAAAGACATGAAGTGCCAGATGTTTACAAAAACCCAGGACTGAGCAGAGAAGGAGATGTGAGGTCAGTGCTGACACCGCAGTTAAGAGACTGGATACAGCTGGGTCTGTGACCAACTCTGCAGCACGTGTGCACTGGCTGATCAGCTGGCTCTGACCCAGCACAACACGCTCCACCTTTGCTCCACCTTTTCCGAGGAAGAGGTACGAGGGATTAAAGGGCAGGAGGGAGCCCTCTCGCTTTTTCACAGAATCCACATTCCTGATGCAAACCAGCTGAGAGTTTCCCAGGGCAACCAAGCTGTTCTGAGAGCTTCTGCAAAAGTTAAGGAAAAACCCCAATACAAATAAGCTAAAACTTATTACACGGGGCAACTTTTTTTTTAAGGTGTTTGCTTATAACAAATAGAAAAAAACCTTCACTGTATTTATAATTTTTTTTCTCTACTTCTTATGTTTGTATTATCTAAAACTCAGAAACACTGGTATTTTTCCTTCTGCTGACTTAAAGCCATAAAGTTTTAGTAAGGCTCATATGCAAGAGAACGACAAAGAAAATGTCTTTTTTTTTTTTTGTAACAGCATTGGAAGGAAAAAGCAGGGTTATCAGGCAAGTGACATTGCCTTATATCTACATTAGGTTTTGTTTTCATTTGTAATTTTCATAGTATCAAAGACATAACTGCTGGTGGCCATTAATTAACATGCAGTTTCAGGACAGCATAGGTGTAGGGTCATTTTGAGATATCCTGACCAGATCTGCTTAAGAAACCTCAGAAGGAAAAAAAAAGAGAAACTTCCCTATTAATCACCTGAAGATCCACCTCTCAAGTTTATTCTTCTTGATGTACTGTTGTTGCCCCTCAAGTGTTCCTAAGTAATTTATTTTTAAACCTTAGAGGACAAGCAGAGAGAGAGAGAGAGATAGAGAGAGAGAGAGAGAGATCATGTCTACTGAACCAAGTCTCTTACTCCCTGATTATGGTCTGGAAAGTATTTAAGGAGAGGTATCTCCAGACATTTTGCACCCTGATGTGAGCTGCTGCCACCCCCACACATTATGCAGATGATCTTGGTACTTACTACAAACAGACCGAAGTGGCACAGTGCGAGTAAAGGAAGATGCCTCAGTGAACTATCTCCTGTGTCATCTGGATGAATTGTTATAGGGAAGCAGGCATTTGGGAGCTAAAGAGCTGTAATTATGCAACCAGTACACAAGCTGGAATCACAAACACCAGAGCTGTCACCCCAAAGAGTGTCCTCAGCTACTTTAGATCAAAATAAGGGGAACATCACTCTTTTCTTTAGGAAATAAAAAAGGAATGACCAGGGAAATCCTCATGATCCCCATGTCCTCCATGTAGTGTGTTAAGATTCACAAGTTACCACATGCCAATTCCATGAAGGAAGTGAGAAAGTATGAGAACTGTCTCTACACTGCAAGACAGTGCTCATCTCCCTGGCTTTCTATGCCCAATGATCCACAGTACACTTCAAAATAGAAAATTATTTTCAAAGAGAAGGCAGGTATCTAATTATGCTCTGCTTGACAAAGGAGTCACAAGCCTGTTTTGATGGTGAAAGCTAAGGGGATACAAGTGAACTGCAGACAACTTCTTCCTAATACGGGTCATCACCTCTGTGTGGGTTGGG